ATGTATCAAATATATTTTCCAACTATTCTTTCCCTTTAAAGCACATAAATCACAAAATAACTTGTTGCCATGGTAACTACGATATTCTAAAACTCCCTAGAGTAGCTCATGTTGAGCTTACTGAATACCTTGTCTATCATTTTGAAATGATTGCATATACATTTCAGGCCTTATAATAAACTTGAATAGCTGRAATATTAGTATTATCTAAATTTCGATTTTAATTGAGTGACGTCATAATATCACGTGATTTCAGCACTAAAGCTACTCTTCTGACATTGCTATCACTGAAAACCATAAAGTAGAGGGTGCAAGCTTTCCAAARATGTATGATAGCATTTGTCCCCCTGACTGTTACCGAAGACCTTATTTTTGGGGGCCTGGCCCATGGACTACACGCAGTACAAGAATGCTTCAAGACAGGAATATGTTAGTCCAATCCAGTACTATGACTTGGATAATAAAATAAAGTGCAAAGAACTAAGAAGATGAGGAAAATGACGTAAATCGTAGGAAAAATAAGCAAATGTAAGTCCTGTGTTTCAGCGTCATCATCAGTTATTGCGCAAGCCGGCACATGATAAATTGTTAATAATAATAATAAACTTTATTTATGTGTCAATAACGTGTGAGGAGTTCACCACATCCCCCCTCCCCCTCCCCCTCCCCCCATCATCCCTACCCGCTCAGCTGTGTACCACCACTTTAACAGCATCCCAGCTTCTTCATTTGGCCTTGTTCTTTCTCAACTGCCCTTCTTCAAGTCATCTTCAGTCTGCCACCTGCCCTGTGAGTCCTGTGACCCTCTGGCATCCATGCTGTGTTTCCAATCTAATTATTTGAACAAATTTCCTAAATTCTCAAATATTGTATGCTGATAATAACAGTAGTTCATGGAATGTGGGCTGATATCTTTCAAACTGCAAATGTATTTTTTGAACAAACTGCATCAAGAGAACACCAACACCAAATCTTTTGTCAAAGTCAATCAAAATGGTAGCTATAATATACATGCACTGAAGAATAGTTTGATGGGGTAGTTTTTATTTTTATATCATTTCTGTCAGCAAAATGAATGATATTAATTGATATCACACATTCCTTTTCTCTCTTTGTAAAAATTCAAAGTAACTAAAAATTTTGTTCATGATAGCATAGATAGTTAATTTGCTTCATAAATTTTACAGCCAACCATGTTGGTAGAGGAAAAGAAGATATATGCTTCACTTACGAGGGGCAGCCCATAGTTAACTGTTGTTGTTGTTGTTGCTGTTGTTTTTGTTGTTGCTGTTGTTTTTGTTGTTGCTGTTGTTGTTATTGTTGCTGTTGTTGTTGCTGTTGATGTTTTTGTTGTTTCTTCAAATTTTAAGCTCATTCTCTAGAATGTTGTTTCTTCAAATGTTAAGCTCATTCTCTAGACATGTAATGCATGAAATAGTTGAATATGCTGGAACGTGCCCTGTAAAGATATATATTTGTGTTACTTTTATACATTATATTTAGCTCTAGTTATGTGTAATCCTTAGATTTATATATGAATATTTTCCATCTGAATATAAAGCCTAAGAATGCACATTATTGATCAACCAATCGTAGTTTAGTGATTCTACACTTGATATCTGATTGACACCTGTCATAAAACTATTATAAATGTAATACTTGTAGTCCAATATAATCAGTTATCAGGAACCAGATACTATTAGAAAAGAAATGTCCTGATACAGCCTACCTAGAGCGGTTCTAATATCATTCATTAAGACAAACCATTTTTTTTAAATTGGTACATTATTAAGTTATTCTCTAATTCTTATTCACTTATAAGTTCTCTGTCAATCGTTATCATTGATAATTATTTTATTATTATTATTATTATTATTATTATTACCTTATTGTATAAATCTTACTGTTTTTTTTTTGAACACTTTTTTGATCTGCCATGATTAGCACTAGACGGACAAAATTTGCTTCACCCTACCAAAATGTCCCAACCAAATATTTGTCCGACCGCTAACGTCAAACAATTTTCTTGACATGCTTTAGAAATAATAATTGGAAAGCATGTCAGTTGTGACGTTTGTCCCAGGACTTTTAAGTTTGGTTGACCAGGAGAAATTTTGGCGCGGTTCAAAATACGCATTTGCACTTTAGTGTCCCCAGCACGATAATGACATATTTTTTAAATTAAAAAAAAAAAATTCGTTATTAAAAAGCGTTCTTTAATTTCCACAAACAGCGTACTGGAGTGAGACTCGGTAAGTAAAATCAATCACTTTGGCAATTCTGTGACAATTCATTACATCTGTCACTATAAACGGGATCTCTGTGTCATTTCCCCCTAACGGGGCTTGGGTAATGTCCGGGTACTATTGCGCAACTTTAGCCAAAAAAAAAAACATGAGACGCATTTTAAAACACAGGCAACCTAGTAAAAAAAATGACTAATGCTCGACTTGCCATGAATTGCGGGCAAGCAATTTTTCAACGAGATAAATTAGGCAGCACTCTGAAATATTGTCTCAAAGAACAGATCTCGGTCATGCTAAGTGTAATTCGGTGACCCCCACGTTGAAGGGTAATTTTCTAAAGGCGTGAATAGCTTTAGGGTTTGTCTTTATAGGATAATAGTTGCTAAACTGTGTGTGTTGGTTTAATTACTGAAATCAGAGAGAGCGCTTATCCGCCTTCTCGATTATATTTGAATTCAAAATTGACCAACCAAGCAACAGAACCGAACGAGGAAAATGAATCGGAAACAATTCGAGAGGAGATTTTCTCTTTGCTAGTTTTACTTTATCTCATGTATAATTCTCAACTTGTTATCATTAATGATATATAATAAAACTGAGAAGACAGGTGCAAAGATAAGAACGGGCTTTCATATCTCTGAGTATTTTGAGGGCTCGTCATTTATTTTTGTCCGATTGATTAAGTGAGTTTTTGGAAATATTAGTCCCCTATAGTGTCTGATTTCATTCAAATACAAGTAGCAGCTGCGACACTTCTTCGCCTATATAACTACTTAGAGCCGAGTTAGTACTAATTACTAAAAAAAAATATTTATTACTAGGGAATTATTGCATTCACTTTAATATTGAGGAGTATGTAGAATTTGGCATCACACTAGACTATCTTTTACAGAACTTTGACTTCAGCTTTAGGGAAAAAATTGCAATTTTGGTCAATTATCATTTTGTCAGGATCAATTATTTTGAATTTTGTTGATTTAGAAGTCTCAGGTTTTTGAGAATGTTATTTGAGATAAACACCTGTCATTATGCCAGTGGCTCAGCAGTGATGTTGTCACTATGACAATATGACGAAATTACAGCCTTTTGCATACATTTTTTGAGGAATTTCTTTACTAGCCGTGTTTGTCACCATGACAGTAGTATTACGAATTAAAAGCTGTAAGCTTTAAAATAAATAAAAAACTGGTTGCCAGTAATTCCGTTCTTTTATACATTTTTTTCAACACAAATCCGTTTACATACATTTTTTAAGGAACTTCTTTACCAGCCGTGTTTGTCACATTACGATGAAAGAAAATAAAATACTGAAAAGTGCGGAGTATTTGTCGCAGTCCTCAAGTTGGCTTCAGCATTAAATATGCCAGCTGGTGCTTTTCTAATTGGACTGATTGTCTCACTTGAATTATAAAGTAGGAAAAACGAGTAGTCTCTCGAGTCTATCGAGACCTTTTAAGATAATTGTCAGTAGAAATTATTTAAAGGTAAGAATGAACTTTTATATTCAGTGTCAAACAGAATTCTTTACCTATGGGGTATTATTAGCTTGGTTGGGGTCTTTTGATAGGGCTCTTTATTGATTTTTGCCCATCTAGTTTAGTAAAATATTTACTTTTCAGAATCTGTAAAAAATAACCCAAAAGTGGAAAGAAAGATTTTTTGCTGCAGATTATCGTTGACTTCACAATATTGTTCAATATGTTATTACAAAAATAGCTGGCCATCTTTGCACTTGTTTTATTCTCACCTTCATTATAGCCTTCGATAACTACAATGATATTCTCTTTATTCACTGAATCAATCCTGTCAACTGAAGTCATCAAGGCGTTTATCACTAGAACCCAATTAAGTAGTAGTTTTTTGTTAGTACTAAATATCTTTGAACTCAAAAACGGAGCAATTTTAGTGCAACGCAGTGGAAGAGACTTAGAACTTTATGAGTTTTAAATTAAATTTGTAAAAGTAAGTTCTTATTCTTGCCCAGCAGTATTAAGTGCCTCTTTCTCATTATTCGAGTCAGTTCCAGCTTACAATAAAATATTTCATGAGAATTCCCCTTGCACTGGATGTTAGAGTGACCACAGTAAATCCGTGAAACTTTAGTAATACTAAATAGCACAATTTCATGCAAATCCCATTGTTTTCTATTGTTTAATTAGCACTTTAGTAATTAGTGTTTCACGGATTAATTGTTTGCACTCTAATCGTTAACTTAGCGAAAGTAAAGTGACGGTCGATAAAAAATGAGCCCATTCATGATCCCTGATTAGAATTAGAAACGATCTAAATGTGCTTTCAATCTGTAATTTGGATGCCACTTTTGGTCTGCAGTAAGGTAAAGATGAATTTATATTAATGTTAGGAATGTATTTTAACCTTGGGCCATAACTAATAGTGAACCATTACACCAATGCATCGCAAATTTAAAAAAAAAAAACAAATTCGCCGAAATTTTAGGATCTATCAGTGCGCTCTGTTTTTGTTTGTCTTCCTTAATGGTTGAATCGACTTAGTTAGAACGATAGCCCTTTTCTCATAGGATTTTTGGTTCCTGGTTCTCCGGTTTTTGTTCAAAGAGCATTATTACATTATGCAATTAAAAATGCAACTCTTAAGACCCGAACTGTGACTGAATGAATGACTGGAGTGCTTGGTAGTTTCCTCTGTCTTCAATTTCTCTCCTCTCCTCTCCTCTCCTCTCCTCTCCTAAAGAAAAAACCCAAACTATAAAAGAAAAGATAAGAAAACTGAACTGAAAAGTAAGAAAGAAGGGGATGAAAACTAAAGAAGCGAAAAAAAAAAAAAAAAAAACGAAAAAAAACGGCCGGGTTTCATTTTTTTCCCCTAAAATAGCAAAACTATCTTGGATACGATTACATGTTTATCAATGTTTTTACAACTGCTTCCACATTTAAAGATGCAAAACAAAAACGTAAGCTACTCATTTTATTGTGTTATATGAGATATCGCCAAGTAACTAAACTACCAAGAGAAGAACACCAAGGACGTGAATGATAGTTTCCGTGACTCACTGGGCGGCACAAAGTCTTGTTTGCTTCCGTGTCTTTTAGAGTAGGGAGCCATTAAAAAAACAGTGTTTACTTGTTGTGTTTCCGCAATCAGCAAGAACCAGCAAGCTGACTAAATTGTTAACATCAGTTATGAAAGGAAATGGCAAAAATAGTCTTTTCAAGAAAAAAAAACTCGGAACAAAATAAACTAGTAAAATAAATCCGAAAATGCTAGTTTGTCTGGCGTAGGAAGAAGTCGGAAGTCCTAGTTCTATACCAGTTTGATATATTGTAAGTTAAAACTCAACTGAAAAGAGTCGTTAAACAATCATCAATCGAGATTGTTGAAATTGCATGCTCCTGAGGTCATAGAGCTAGTAAACTAGAGACTATGCACCATCATGTGATGGAAGCCTTGATAGGAGCTATGCAGGAACGGGCTGGTATTTACATGAGAAAGAATTTAGATTCCCAGTGGGAAAAGACTCTGTTATTGTACCTACTGTCATGGCTGCCATCACTTGATGGTGCAAATCCTATATACTTCCTCATCGACCAGGAAACCGGTAGCCTTGACTCAAAAAACAACAACAACACTAGAACAAAACATGTTGCTTGACGATAACGAAGCTTTCCTCATTAGCCTCTCTTGTTAGACAAATCACGACCAGCATTGTTATATGAGTCATGCATATGCACACAAAAAGGGTTGCGGACCTGCATGCACTAATCAGGAAATACTAAGCTCTGTTACTTAACCATGGTTGACTCTTATGTTTACTTAATTTTAAAGTTGTTAACATTCGATGTGATTATATTTCATGATTTAGCCGGAAAAGAAAATTCAAATTTTTTTACTTTCAAACTTAGTAATTATTTATAGCCTTATTGGGAAGAACTGAAGGCGTTCATTAGCCTACTATTCTTTCAATCTCTCTTTTCTGTAGATGTGTAAGTATCCTTTATTGTTGGCTTTTCATTTTAGAGGAAAAAATATTAAAAAATTAAAGAATGAACTAAAATCGTTTTCATCTGAAGTTATTAAATTTTGTCAAAAAAAGAGGTAATACTCTTATAAAATAAAGCAAAGACAAATAAACAAACTGCTTTTATGTTTTTGAATATTGTTGGACTGCTTTGTTTTTAGCTTATCAGTTTATCAAAGAAACGGTAAAAGATTTCATTGTTCAGTGATATTTTGCCGATGAGAATAAGATATCTGATTGAAGCAGGGCAGATGCTATGTAATATGCTAATGTCGACCAGTCAAAGAACCGACTGTTTTTGCCTATAGCAACAACACGATATGAAATTCAAAATTGCCTTATCAATCTAACTTATCTGTCTATCCGTAGTATAAACATTCTGTTGCTAAGAGAGTTATCTAACTAGATTTTATGTAAACCACAGATATTTCATCGATTCGATGGATAGAATGGTTCTAGTACTTCTGTTTTGGGTCCCACTAGCGTTTAGTTCAAACCTTTGTAACAACTGCACGAAGAAAGAGCTTTGGGTGGGAGCATTTTCTACGGTCGATACCTCTGGAGGCGGATGGAACTCTGCTGGCGCTATACCAGCTATTGAAATGGCTGTTGAAGATGTAAACAATAATTCAAGTATCCTTACGAACTATAGTTTAAGGATGAGTTGGAGAGATACAAAGGTATGTTTAGGCACCGTATGAGCTTTATGTCTATTAAATGAATAATACAAATTATTACATTTTCAGTGGTCTGCTATGAGCTTCCATTACTCATTTAGGAAAGTTAGAAAGCTAACGAGAATACTTATAAAACAAATCTTGAAAACGAATTTATTAAGCCTATTTTTCCTGAAGTCCTTCATGGCCAAGCAGGTACTTTTTTTTGCGCTCAGCGCTGTTTTATATTAATATTGTTGGCCAATGCGGGGGGAAAATGTCGCATGACGTTCAAGTGTTTTAAACTTACTCTGCCACTTTTTTAAACGATAAGACCTGTATTGAATGATTTTGCGTGTGACAATTAGCATGAATGTCGTCAAGAAATCCACACACAAAACAACAAGAACTAAAATTGCCTTGTCAGAACAGGAAGAAATCAATGACACCAAGAAAGGGTTTATCGCTTATCTGTAGGCCTAAAAACTGCTTGGAACCACGTTTTATCGCTACGAAAAACTGATAACTCGTATTAAAATGCACGGAAGTATCTTTATCATTATCATGCATCCAGTGTTATTCATTTTGACGTTTTTTATAGTTTCTTGAGAATTTTCTAGTTCATGTCAGTACTGAATCAATTTTACAAATTAAAAACTTAATTGAAACTATCAAATTGTGTAAATCGTAGTCTCTAGGTTAGATGCAGTGGTCCTCAGCGGCTAATTGGTTACCACGAATGAGTTGTCACTTCAGAAATTAAAACTGTTATACTGTATATGAAATACCTAATTGGAAGGGCGACACAAGGATTAGAAAAGTGGCTCGGAACAGAAAAAAATACACACATAAAAAGGCAAAATTTACTGAAGATTCTTTTTCCTTATTTCATCGCATGCAACTTCAACGATTTGCGTTTTGTGTCAGTTCGTTTTAATAATTTAAATTCATTCCAATGTCAATGTTATGATTGAGACAAAAACGTCAGTGAGATGTCATCCCTCGATAGAATGAACGGTGCCTTAAACTTTTTTTATCGACTTTTCGATGAATGGTAGATGTAGGAGGCTAAAGGAGATAGGGAGTTAAAGAATTATTGCACGATGTTAGCCTTTTCTGTAAATGTGCTTAGAAAATAGTTCCTAGCATTAAATTTTCAGTTAGTTCATTTTAAAAACCAAACTCCTATCGTCATTTCTATGTTTAGTTTGTTTAGAAAGAATGGTTTTGACTTCATACAGTCGATCCCAAAAACGTTGTCCAAGTGAAAAGAGGTTTATAGGACAATAAATGTCACGTGT